GATATCTTCAGGGAAAGTGAGTTCCTCAGAGAAGCCTAGTCGGGTTGTGGGACAGCATCGGGAGCCTCTCGGAGTCAGTGATTCTGGATCTCCAGTGGAGCCAGTCTGTGCCATGGAGTGACTTCCTCCAGCTGTGCTTCGCTGCTTTGTGAGCACTGAGAAAACGATTCATTAGGTTCATCCAGGTGTGGCCTTCTCCTGAGAGCCGTGATGAAAAGGCAGAGGAGTATAAGAGTTTGGGTTAGAGGCAAAGCTGATGTCGAAGTGAGGGTCACGTGATCCCCTCAGGTCAAGTTGGGATGTGAAGTGGGGAATGGGAGAGAGTAGAGGGGTGGGGGCTGGGAACTCGGTGCACCGGACTGGGCTTGTCGTCGCAAAGGGTGTTGAGAAGCAGTCTGGGGTGGTCCAAGAGGGGCTGGCGAATTGGTGACTTTGGAGGCAGGGTAGTTACAGGTGATGATGCAATCCAAGAGGTGGCAGTGGACGAGGTGGATTGGAGGCACAGGTCAGGGCATAGGACTTAAGAGACTGAGAGGTTGGGGTGCTAAGCGAGTGGCCCCTAGATGTCAAAGTTGACCAGGATGGTGCTGGGATCAAACTCGTTTTCAAAGAAGGGACAAGACCTCAAGGCCAGTGGATGCCAAGGCCAGTGGTGAAGGAGGGTGGTACAGATATGGGGTCGTATAGTTCTGCGGGCAGTTTGGGGACCCCGGCAGATACCAAACCCACCTTTGGGCCTGAGGAACATGGGATAAGAGAAAGGAAACAGAGTCACTGAGAAGCCTGCAGAGAAGGTAGCCTCCTGGGGTACAGCATGTAAGGGATGGGGGGACCCCTTAGGGAAGGCACTGAGCCCATAGAGACACCTGTTGGTGTGGCAGTGCTCGTGACAAGGGGCTGACGGCGTTGGGGGAAGGCTGGGTCAGAAGAAGCAGCACAGAGGGTTGTGGAGGTCAAGGGCAGAAAGGACTGATGGGCAGAAACTTACTCTGTGGGCGTTGACAGATCCAGGCAGGGCTGTGAGGCTGGGGAGGACTTGACCTCATCTGTCCCTTTGGGACTACAGTCAGGGGCTGGTCTCACTTGTCTGGGACCCTGTGTGACTGGGGAGTTGGCTGGCCCAGAGGCTGTAGAGATTACCCCAGGCTCTCTGGGCTATGTTGAGAACAATGACTCGACCAGCTTTGTACTTTAGAAAAAGCACTCGGCAGGGGTGGTGGTAGCCAGGAGATCAGGCAGGAGGCTGCATCAGTTGCCCATAGACGCTTCTGCACTGGCCAACTTAGGAGAGACATCCAAGAAGCCAGCTTGACCTGGCTTGCAGGATGACCAGGTAAAAATATCCCCGAAGTCACTTTTCCCCCTTCAATGCATGTGCACTTGCACTTTTTGCAAAGAGGTAGATTGCTGTGGTCTCCACACAACTCCTCCCATCAAAGTGAAAAGACACACCAAGGCCAAGGCCAGTTATGGTTTACAATCACTGCAGTCCTCAGATAATTGTTTCTAAGCCATTGCAACCAGATGGGGAAGATACTTCTATTTTTTGGTTCTTTATTTGTTAATTAGCTGCATATCACTGCTGCACAAGCAGGAGTTCTGGAATATTTGACTTTGGTTTTCGAATGAAAAATAATAACTTTAGAATTGGGATTATTTATAAGACACTGAATCTCGGTTAAAATATTTATTTATTTATTTATTTAAATCGATCTCTGTACTCACCATTGGAGGGAGAGGCAGCATCATTCAGGCCTGGGTGATAGCGCTGACCTCAATGGTTTGTAAGAGTCTGATTTTCCATCCATCTCCCCTACTAGGCTCTGAGTTCCCCAAAGGCAGGGACCGCAATGTATTCACTTTGGCATCCCAGCGCCAACACGGGGCCTGACACAGACTAAACGTTCTGTGAATAAATAAATGATGGACCCTGGATGGATGAGGGCATGTCAGACGGACGTCAGATGGATGAATAAATGGATGTGGATGGGGTTTTGATGAATGAGTGGGTGAGTGTTGGATGCGAGGGTGGAGGGAGGCTGGAAGGATGGCTGAGTGACAGGCACAGCCAGTGTTCCATATTCAGTGGAAAGAGAAATCCCTTTGGGGCAGTCTGGAGGTCTTCCTAGGAAAGGATAAAATTGTGCTATATTTTGAAGACCAAGGAGGACTTGGATATAGGAAAAGGAAAATGAAGGTGGGATTTCAGCTGTTATATTAGCTACTTAGGGGCAGAATCTAACCGGGAAGAGAGGATTGAGCCAGATCCTAGCAGCCTTCAAAACCGCCTAAGCATTGACTGTTAGGTCTTCTACTAATTAGCCACCATATAGTAAGTCTAATTGTTATTTTATGTGATGTCTCCATACCCTTACAACAACTTCTCAGGGAAGAGATTATCTTCTCTATGTATAGTTAAAAAAAATAAACTCAGAGAGGGAAAGTAATTTGCCCTAGGTCACACAGCGGACCTGCAATTTGGACTTGAGTTTTAGTGACTCCAGTGCTGCTCACTCTATTAGTGAGGGCCCTGAGAACACAGGGGTTTTGAGCAAAGGCCAGGGTTGGGGTGGGGTAATATCATGTTAGGTGGTCGTATCCAGGCTGGGTGTCACCCCAGCTACACTATGAGCCTGGGCAACTCTTTCACAACCTCCTTGCTGGGACCATGTGCCAGCTGAGCATCAAGCTGGACCCCAAACCATCAGGGCTCCCTGAGGCCTAGCAGAGTCAGGGTAGAAAGGAGAACAGAAGTGTGGCAGGAGCTTTTGGGAAGGGGGGCAGCTTGGGGAGTTTCTTTCCCAGGGTCAGCAGGCCACTGGAATAAAAATCAGAAGCGCCCTTAGAAGTCATTTAGTCTGGCAGCCTCTGTGTATGGAAGAGGAGCCCAGGACCCAGCAGGGAAGGTAGATGCCCAGGTCCACCACGAATCAGTGTCAGAGTCTCGGCCAGAATCCACACGTCCAACTGGGAAAGGTGGTGTGTTAGTTCCAGGATGGGACAGAGAAAGGCAGAATGACTGCCCGGCTCTGCCATCAACCTGCTGTGTGACCTTGAGCAAGTCACTTCCCCTCTGAGCCTTGTGGTCTCTTTATTCTGAGATAATGATCTCAGTAGGGCCTTTCTGCCAAGAAGTACCCAGTGAAAGTTGAACTTGGAAAGCTGTTTACAATCTGTAGAGCCCTGGGAGGGGGAGTCACCAGCAAGAGACAGGCAGGTTCTAGGTGAGTGCCAGGGATGCGCCTGTAGCTTCCTGGGTCTCTGCCCAAACTTTGCCATCTGTAGCATCAGCTCTACCTCCCCCTGCCTCCCTGCTGGGAAAGAGGCTTCTGAGGTATTGTTACTTTATCAGAATCTTTTTTCTCCCTCCCTAGTCAGACTCTCTTCTCTCCCCTTCTATTTTAGTCAGGACTCTTGGTTGCAAGTGACAGAAATCAGCGATACAAGGAGGGAGAATTCATTTTAGGGATGGCTAGATCCTCAGACTAAAATGATATCTCCCAGACACTCCCTTTGCTTGTTCCTTCTTCCCCCCTCACTCTGTGTCCCTCAGCTTTTTCTTCCTCTTCAAGCAGGCTGTCCCCACATGGTGGCAAAGACAGCCACCAACAGCTCTCAACTGGCACTACACCCAGCAAGGTATCTTGGCAGATAGAGAGCATCTCTGTCCTGATGCTCCCGCAACTATCCAGGTGACTCTCAGGAGCAGGGCGCAGGGTGAGTGTCCATCCTTGTACAGATATATCACTGTGTGTTCATTATTTGGTTAGAGCTGGATCACAAGCCCACCAGGGAAATTAGAAGTGGGCTCAGCCCTGCCCAAGTCACAAGGACTGAGGGCCTGGGAGGCAGTTTCCAAAACAAAGAGATAAGTTCTGTCAACAGAAGAGGGGATATGGGACAGTCAATGACAGTTGGTATCCTTGGCATCTTTGTTCCTAAGTGTGTATCAGCTGAAAAGTTGAACCAGCAACTACTGGAAAAGGAATATTAATTATATCCTGAATCAGTTAGCTTTTGCTGTGTAACAGATCTCTTGAAAACGTAGTGGTTTAAAACAACCATTTTATTTAGCTCATGATTCTGTGGATGAGCTGGGAGGTCATTTGGTCTGGTGACGTGTCTTTGGTCAGCTGGTGGGTTGGCTGGCATCTGAATGCTCTAAGATGGCCACACTCATGTGTCTTGATGGTTGACTTGCTGTCAGCTGGGGCACCTCGGTTCTTTTCACTGTGGCCTCTCTCCCTCCAGCAGGTCAGCTTGAACTCTTTTATAAGGTGTTGTCTGTGTCACAAGTGTAGCAAATGGGCAAGGTCCAATGCCCCAGTGTTTTTCAAGCTTTCATCCTTTTTGCTAAAGTCCCTTTGAGCAAAGCGAGTCACATGACCAAGCAGAGTCAGTGTTGGAAGGCACTGCCAAAGAGTGTGGAAGCAGGAAGAAAAAGAATTTAAGGTCAAATGTACAACCTACTACAGCTCCCTTGGGGGAAGGGAGTGAAAAAGATCGCTTTCTCTATAGCCCATGGATGCCATGAGCCAGGGCAACCTCCAGATAGGGGCCCTTGGAAGGGACAACTTGGGCCCACAGGCTTCCCTGGGTCCTCCAGGGCCGTGGTTCAGTCCTTGGCCAGGGCTGGAGGGAGGCAGGTTGGATCCTGACTCTCCTGGCTAAGAGGCTCCCCCATCCCTGGGGAAGGTGCAGGTGCCAGTGGGGAAGGCTTCTTGGCAAGGAAGAAGGTGTTCTGAACCCTAGCTTCCATCTCCCTTCAGCCCACCCCACATGCTGGTCAAGGCTCCACCACTTTGTGCTCACAGCCTTGTCCTCACCTCCCAGCATCCCTTTAGTACCGAGGGGCTGAGCTGCCTCTGAGACTTGTGTACAATCAGGTCATGGTGCCGCGTCACCACTGGAACTGGGGTCCCCTGCTCCACAACGTCAGTGAGGAGTCCCTTTGCTCCTCTTTTAGGGGGTGACTGGCCTCAGCCTGTTCTTTTCCACAGGTGGCTGCACTGGAGCGGCAGATCTTTGACTTCCTGGGCTACCAGTGGGCTCCTATCCTAGCCAACTTCCTGCACATCATGGCAGTTATCCTGGGCATCTTTGGCACCGTGCAGTACCGCTCCCGGTACCTCATTCTGGTATGGCTCACCTGGCCCCTTCCCAAGCCAACCCCCTCCTCTCATCCCCATCTGTGCCCCGCTGCTTCTCCAGCCAGAGCTGCCCTCCGCCCCAGGCACCCAGACCTCTGCCTCTATCTTGGCTCCAGCCTGGCTGATGGTGTGGATGTCCAAATCTTGCTCAGTGGAGACAAGATTAGTATCGTTCCTAAAGAATTTTCTAGGGAAAAATCCAAATATTAATAAGATACATCATTTAGCGAGTGTCTACCAGGTGCCAGGCACGTGCTAAGAGTTTCACGTGCTTTCCTTGTCTTTACGACAGCCCTGAGAGGTCCGTCTCACCATCTCCATTTTCCAGATGAGGAAATGGGGCTCAGAAAGGTTACAAGGCTTCCTAAAGATACACAGCTAATAAGTGGCAGGATTAGAGCATCATGTCCAGAGCAGAGGCTCCTGCCACATCACTACGCTGCCCCAGTAAGCCCGTGCAAGGGATGGACTTTGCCTTGTTTGGTTTCTGAAGTTGCTTCAGGAAGGCTTGGCTTTTGTCCCTTGATGTTCATCAAGAATGTAGTCTAGAGTGGCTGGTGTGGCTTTGAGGCCAGTGCCTCCTGGCCCTAATCCCAGGAGAGGATTCCGTCCCTCTTTCCAGGCTCTGGTCCTTGATGGTCAAACTCCTGTTTTCAGCTGGCCTCACCCTTGTCCCCTGCTATTCTTCAGTGACCCATTCACACACCTCTCTTTTTTGGTTGATTTACTATGTAAATGCTTGACACCCATGATAACAATGACAAGTGATTTCGTGCCACCCCTCGAGCCCACTCACACTCATTCTAGTGTTTCTCCCCACCTCCCACAGGCTCAGCTCCAGAAGCCAGGTGAATAGGGCCCCTCCAGAACTCTCCCTCACCTGATATAGGAGGCTTCTCTCCAGTTATCAGAAAAGCCCCAGGCACCACTGTAGATAGCACTGTCTGCCAGGCAGCTGCCACAGGAATTGCAGGCATAAGATTTAGGTGGAAACATCCAGCTCCTCTCTAGTTCTTTGCCATGGGCAGGATGTCTGGGGTCTGTTCTCTACAGAGTGGATAGGATTAGCTACCAGAGGACTTGGGTTTCTGTGCCAGCCCTACATCTTCCTAGCTGTGTGATCTTGGAAAATGTAAACCCCCTCTCTGGGCCTTAACTTAGTTATCTTTAAAGAGAAAGACAGTGCCTTCCCTGCAGGGCTGTTGTAAGGACTGGATGGATGTAAACATGGTTTGTAAATTATGAAGTGCTCTCTGAGTGAGACATTGTCCTAATTTCCTCTGCAAAGGTCTCCTTAGTCCATAGATGCACCCCATCCCCACTCCCCCAGGCCCCACCCTGATCCCATCTCTGCTTTCCCCAGTATGCAGCCTGGCTGGTGCTCTGGGTTGGCTGGAATGCATTTATCATCTGCTTCTACTTGGAGGTTGGACAGCTGTCCCAGGTAAGCCTTAGGCCTGGCAGTGCCAGAAGGCAGAGCCCAACCTTTCCTGTCCCCTGCCCTGAGGGATCCTTGTGTGGTGCGGGTCCTAGGTATCATCTCTTAAGGAGACCAACAAGTTCAAATAATCTGTGCTCCCACCCCCACCCCATCCCTACATTTCTTTTTGGCCTCCCCTGCCCTTCTCAAAAACAATTACTGGAGTACATGAGGCTGAAGGACAGTCTGTGTGAAGATGCGCTGGGGTGCAAGCTGGTCACAGTCTCAGTAGAAACCAGCAGTATGTGGCAGCCACAAAAGCTACTCTTAGGCCCCACGCATGTTTGGTACAAAGGAGATAAAAATGTGACAAGCTCTGTACTGCTTAGACCACAAAGATTTGGGTCTAGTTCTGATCGATAGTTTTCAGAAGAGAAAGAGACTAGGTAGAGCTTGTTCTGGGAAAATTGAGCAGACCACATCACATGGAGAACTATTGAAGAAAGTGGGAGTATTTAGCTTGGAAAAAAGCAAGCCCAGAGGGCATGACTTCTATTTTTAGATATAAAGGAAGTAAAATAGATGAATGAGAGCACTGGCTTTATAATTCTGCAAGATTTAATCCCACCTGGAACATTTCCTAGCTGTATAAACCCTGGGCAAGTGGCTTACCCTCTCGGAGCTTCAGTTTCCTCATCTAGTAAGTGCAGGTAATAGGAATCCCAATTTCATGTGGTTGCTGAGGGGATGAAAGGAGATTACACATCTCAATGCTTGGTGCTTGGTGCTTGGCACCTGGCCCACATGCAGTGAATATTTTTTAATGGACAATACATAGATGAGCAAGAACTCTTATTTTTTTCTAATGGAGGTACTGGGGATTGAACCCAGGACCTCGTGTATGCCAAGCACAAGCTCTACCACTGAGCTATACCCCAGCCCCCAGAACTTCTGATACAGACCAATCCCTTCACCATTTCAAATAGTGAGATCAAGGACTAAGAGAGGAGAGGTTTGCCCAGGGTCACGCGCAGAGAGCAATGGAGAGGCTGAATGGGCTGTGAAGGGGTCTGTATTGACGATTTCACCAATGGCTGGAAAATTGGACCCAGTGACTGTTAAAACGTCCCTTCCAGCCCTGAAATTCTGGGGCACCTGTGGGTCTGCAACAGCCTCTTCCATCGCCGATGGAGAAGTGCGGCCTGCATGTTCATCGAGCGCCACCTACTGGCCAAATGTTGACTTGCAGATACAGAGTTCATACCTTTCACAAATCAAGTTGGGAATGAAGCTGTTACATCAACCCAGGTGTGAAGTAGGCCTTATATACAGTCTCCTGGAGCCTGGGGAGGATCCACTCCCTCTTCCTCCCAACCCAGCTCAGCATCCTAGGCCCCTCTGCCCCCAGGACCGGGACTTCATCATGACCTTCAACACGTCCCTGCACCGCTCCTGGTGGATGGAGAATGGGCCAGGCTGCCTGGTGACACCTGTCCTGAACTCCCACCTGGCCCTGGAGGACCACCACGTCATCTCGGTCACCGGCTGCCTGCTTGACTATCCCTACATCGAAGCACTCAGCAGTGCCCTGCAGATCTTCCTAGCTGTGAGTTCTCCTGGCTCCCTACCTGACACACTCCCAGAGATGGTGTCCACTTCAGCCCCTTTGTTTAGCCCTAGTTAAGAGGGGATGAACCTCCTGTGCTTCTGTCTGGCTCTGTTTCTGTATTTTGTACCACCTCCCTTCACCCCTGCTATACCCCTATTCAGGGAGTGAGCAGATTTAATAAATAGGATGAGGCATCAGACAATGAGTCAGTCCTGGCTTTAAATCTCCAATATACCTGTTTTGTGACCTTGGACAAGTCACTTGCTTTCTCCAAGCTTGTTTTCTTATTCACAAGAAGGAATGACAATATCGACCGCATAGAGTTGTGAGAATAAAATGAGAATGGCTTCAGGATAGTAATAGTTCTCATTTCCAGAAGGGCCAGCCCTGCCCTAGGCACTTTACCCACACGAAGTCACATAATCATCTTTCCTCTTAACAAGCCAGTAAGATATTGCCCAGATTTTGCCAAAGAGGCAAAATCATTCCTTGTCCAAAGTCACACTCCCAGAACGGAGAATGGAAACAAATACATTGATTTTAAGATGCAGGCATTTAACTTGAAGTTGTTATGGGTGTGCCTTCCTCTTAGCGCAACCCACCCCTCTAGTCGGAGTGGGCAGGGACAGGCAGGGGGTAAAGAAAGAGCTTCCCTCTCCACCCTCCCTCCCTGACGCGCGGTGTCCTCCCCCAGCTGTTCGGCTTCGTGTTCGCCTGCTACGTGAGCAAAGTGTTCCTGGAGGAGGAGGACAGCTGTGAGTGTGGAGCCCCTGGGGAAGTGGGAAAGCCTGGCCATGAGCCACCCCACGCCTTCAGCACCCTGGACAGGGGCCCGAGCGGCGGGGAGCCCTGGGTCAGCTAAGGAGTCCCTCTTGGGTCTGGGAAGAAGAGGCGGCAGGATGGATGGGGATCTGCATAGCCAGCTCATTCTGGGCTGAGGCCCGGACATCCAGATGCCCAGTCCAAGGCTTTTGCACCGCCCCACTACCCGCCCCTCTTAGGCCCCGCCCCACTCCTCTCAAGCACCGCCCATTCCTAGTTCGTCCTACTGCCTACCCCCTGGAGATCTTGCCCACTGGAGTTCCGCCTCCCCAGAGCCTTCTCCCTTAAAGGGCCACCCAGCCCCTGCATCCACCCCCACCCGCCTCACTCCCCCAGGTTTCAGCTCTCTATCCTCTTGGACCCTGACCCCATCCCTCAGAATGCCGCAGCAAAGCCCCACCCCTAAGGGCCAGTACAGGGGTCTGGTCCTCAGATTCCTTCTTTTCAGAAAGTAGCCTTCCATAGCTTGCCCTGAACACGCCCATCCCTAACCATGCGCCATCTCCCCTTCTGCAGTTGATTTCATCGGCGGTTTTGACTCCTACGGATACCAGGCGCCCCAGAAGACGTCGCATTTACAACTGCAGCCTCTGTACACGTGGGTCATGGCGCGGAGCAGAGTGGGGTGGAGGGACCCGGCCCTTAGCGTAGGAGAAAGAAGGAGAGGGAGGAGCGGGGAGGGCAGCCGGATCTCTCCGCCCCCATACTTATGGGTCTGCTTCCCTAACCTGCCTTTATTTCCTGCAGGTCGGGGTAGCTTCTGCCCCGCGCCCACCCCCGCGGCTAGACCGACAGCCGCTGCCAAGAGCTCCAGCCAAGATGGCAGGCGCGCCCCCTGGCGGCTCGCTGACTGGACTGCAGCCTGCGCCGGCTTGATCTGGGTCTGAAGTGGACTTGGACTTGGCCCTTAGCAGCCCGGACTTAAGGGGTGGGGCGGGGCAGGGCTGGAGAGGGGGATCGCGGGGTTTTTTTGTTTGTTTGTTTGTTTGTTTTTAATCTCAGCCTTGGCTTGTTGCTGGAGCCTCCCTCCCTTCTCCAGCCTCTCCTTTCACCCTTCACCCAGAACCTGTCCCCTGTCCAGAGAGAAAGGGCAGGACAGACAAATTCGCCCCATCTCACCACACTCATTCATCAGCCCTGGGGAAAGTTACCCTGAACTAGAAGCAGCATTCTTGGGTTCTTGTCTCAGCTCCATTGCTCTCTGTGTGACATCTGGCAAGGCCCTTGCCCTCTCTGGGCCTCAGTTTCCCAACTCAAATAATTAAAATAATCCTGTAGTAAGTGGAGATCTTTCTAGTCTTTCATTTGACTCTCAGTTCCCCAGACTATATTGGAATTTTTTGTCAATTCCCATTTTGCATATATGGAAACTGAGGCTCAGAGATGTAAAGCTATTTACTTGAGGCCACACAGCCAAGACTTGAACACAGTATACAATCTGTAGTTTCAGACTCTAAAACCCAGTGTCTGGTCTCTGAATTCCATTTCCAATCCCCCTTCCAGCTTGAACACTCTCGAACTCATGTGTTATACACCACAGTCACCTACCACCACCACTATTTGCCAACAACTCTCTTAAAGCAATACACCTGTTCTCTTGCGGGGAACAGGATGAATGGATCCCAGAGCCCTGAATTCAGCCTGACCCACAGAGAAGCCTTTTTAGACTCGGCCTCTATCCACCCTTAACTTTCAAGCTCTCTCCAGATAAGGAGGGGGGAACACAACTCAATCACCCCACCCCCTTCTGGATCCCTGAGACTGCTGCACCCATGATCCCCCACCCCTCAGCAACTCCACCAGTCCCTGATGGCTCTAGCCATCTCAACAGTTGCAAGACCTATGGGAAAGGACTCATCCTCGCTGCCCAGTCACCAGCGTTCAGGATCATGCCGGTGTCCAGGAGCAACCTCTAACAAGCTCAGTTGCTCTGAAGAGGCAGAATGGGGGTGTGGGCCATGGTGGAGGGTCAGGTGGGCCAGCACACTTCCTTAAGAACAAGTAGAGATGACAGCTCATACCTCCCTCCACAGACACCCCTGGGGACCCTGCACAGGCTGGTGAATCTGAGGGCAGAAGGATCAGGCCTCAGCTTCTGGCCTGTGAAATAAGAGTGGCCTTGGCTTAGGAAGGAGGGTGGGAGGCATGCAGGAACCAGAGAGGGGTCAGCCAGTTTGCACACTTGAGCCCGCCCGTGGTGACCATTCCTTATTCTCCACCCTCTGATCTTGGATCTAGTGTTCCCTCCTCTCTAAGGCCAAGATATCCTGAGCTAGGGCCTCACCCCACCATCCAATCTGCAGGTCTGTGCCAAAGAGCCATCCCCAGGTGTTCCTCTGGTGACTCTAGGGACTGAGGTCCCAGATGGTCAGCCTGGTTAGCTGATGGGTACAGCTCAAGAGGGGACAGTTCTCTTCAGGCCAGGCTGCTGCCCTGCCCCTGGGCAAGCTCCTGCCTCCAGCCCTCTCTTCTGCCCCAGCCAGCTGTCATCTCACCCCCAGCCCCCTTTCTACTCAATGGGTTTAGCCACTGGTGCTTTGAAGCCTTTTGTTTTTATAAGATGATTTTTTCAAGGAGACTGAGTTCTCTTTTCACTGGGACCTCGCAAGGCAGGGAGTGTCCCCCTGGTCTCTGTGCAGGTGGGTTGATTGAAAGTGGTGTTTTCTTCTCTGTCTTCCAGTCCTCCTGCCCTGTGAGTTGGCAGGATCTTCTAAGGGAGAAGTCCCCACATGAAGGGTGGGCAGAGGTTGGGGATCTATGTCACTGTCGTTATCAGACGTTCCTGGGCACTGGCTTGTGCCTCTGACTGGCTGTGTAGTTTTGGGCAAGTCACCTACCCTCTCTTTCCTCATCTGTAAATTCCAGAGAGGGGACTAAATCAATGGGTTCCCAAACCTGGCTTCACAATCCCTCGAGAGCTTTCTGTTTATTTTTCTGATTAAGTGCATTTTAAGTTTATGCTTTCAAATACCCTTTGCATCTTGGCTCTGCCCTCTTCCTATCAATTCAGTTCCTGCCTTGGAATAAGCTGGCAGACGGTGCTTCAGACACAGATTCCTGCATCCCCTCTGGGACATCCTGGCTCCTTTTCTAGCCATACAGCCTGAATCAGTGTTTTGAATTTTAAAATTTTGTTTATTTTTGTGAATAGGTAATAAGTATATATGGGTACAGGATTCAGAAAGTTTCAGGAAGGCTATGTACCCTTGCCTATTTTTCATTTCTTTCCAAAGGTAGTCAATTTTTAAAATTAGATCAATGTTTTTTTCCTTTTTCACACAAATTGTAACATATTCTACTGACTTTTTTTTTTGAGTAAAGATAGATTATTTTTAGAGAGATATATACTGCATAGAGTGTAGGCTGTTTCGAAGGCAAAAGAAAGGCCGCGAGGTGTGGGGGTTGTGTGCTCAGGTTAAAGTAAAAGTAGGTACACATTCCATAGACAGAGTGTGTGTGGGCTTTGTCTGAAGAGGAGGGAGCAAGAGGCGGCCATGAGGCCATGAGGTGCGTGTTGACAGTTTTTATGGGCTCTGTAGCTTCATATGCAAACAAGTGGGAGGACCATTCCAACTATCCTGGGGAAGGGGCTCGGATTCCCAGGAATTTGGCCGCTGCTCACCCTTTGACCTTTTATGCTTAGCCCTGGAGCTGTCATGGCACCTGTGAGAGTGCCATTTACCATGTTAATATTACAATGAGCATATAATGAAGCTCAAGGTCTACTAGAAGTCAAATCTGTCATTTTGAGCCTCAAGGCCTACTGGGAGTTGAATCTTCCACCATTTTGGTGTTAATTGCAGTCATTCCTTGAATGACTGTGCCCTGCCCCCTTCCCTCCTGTCTCATTCCACTCAGAGATTTTACTCCCGTAATCTTATGGGGGTGCAGAGGGGCAGTGGTCCATCTTCCAAAACTGCTTTCAGGCTGTATTCTACTCACTTTTGAACTCCCTCCTTCTTTCATGTAACTCTAAGTCTTGGAAGTCTCCCAATAATGTGGAGCTGCCTCCCATTCTTCCACGGTGATTTGGTAGCATTGAGATTTTTAAGATTCCCCAGGTGATCTTGATGCAGTTAGGGGCTGGAACCAGGGGTTCTACATAAGAATGCCAGGGTCCATTCTGCAGACCTCTGTGGACCACTCCTGGTTATGGAGTCAGAAGGAAATAAATCAGAGACACCACCTTCAAGGAGTTTATGGTCTAGTGGAGAGCCCATGGGGTGAGCAGGCAGAAGGGTGGATGCTGATAGCAGGTGGTCAATGCTGAGGACAGTGTAGCATGAACGGCAGTTGTTAATAGCTTGGGAAGGAGGTGATCGGAGCATCCTGGATGGGACGACAACGTGAGCAAAGCTGTGGGGGGAGGAGAACCCATGGTGTCTGGAGTAAGAATGGCCAGACCCTAACTGGCTGGAGGAAGCATCATGGGGAATATATTAGTCTTCTATCACTGTCATAGATTATCACCACTTTAGTGTCTTAAAGCAATACAAATTCGTTATCTTACAATTTGGTCCAAGTCCAACATGGATCTCCCTGGGGGTAAAACCGAGATGTCTGGAGGATTGCATTCCTTTCTGGAGGCTCTAAAGGAGAATCTACTTCTTTGCCTTTTCTAGCTTCTAGGAGATACCTGCATTTCTTGGCTTACAGCCCCCTTCCTCCATCTTCAAAGCCAACAACATCACAGCTCTCTGACCCTTCTTCCATCATCACATCTGTCTAACTGTAGCCAAGAAAGGTTCTCCACTTATAAGGATTCATATCATTGGATTGGGTCCACTTGAGTAACTGAGGATAATTTTCTCATCTCAAAGCACTTAATCCCATCTGCAAAATCCCTTTTGCCAGGTAACACATTTACGGGTTCAAATGTGAACCTCTTTGGGGATTATTATTCTGCCTTCCATGGGGGAGGAGTCGTATTCAGATTATAGCAGCCCTGAATGTCAAACCAGAGTGGGTCAGCCTGATGTGAGGGCAGTGGGAACTATTAAAGGATTTTGACAGAAGCTACCCGGTTAGAGCTGTCCTGGAGAGAGAACTGGCAGGGCCAGAAGGGAGGTGGTTAGGGAAGCAGGAAGCAGTGTTTTGTCTGGAAGAGGGCTAGAGTTTCTCACTTCCCTGTGTAAATGTGTGTTCCTGAGGGTACGTGTGTGACCATGAGCTCTATGTGTGTAAACCTGGGAGGGCCAGTGCGGTAGAGGAATGATCAGCATGAACTGCAGGAGTCAGACGTCCCTGGGTCCCCATTCATCACTCTGAAACCAGTCAAGCTGGTCTTTCCACCAAGCCCAGGACAGCCCCGGCAGTTCCTGTCATCCTGGGGCCATCTCCCAGCAACCTCTGCTGCACATTGGAGTAATCCAAGTAGGACCTATCGTCCAATGACTGCTGAGTCATAAAGGGGCCCAGAGCAGTAGGAAGCACTAGAATATGCATCCCCAAGGCATTTGACAAGTGCAAGAGTCTTTTGGGATTTTTTTTTTTTAATGGAGATACTAGGGATTGAACCCAGGACCTCATGCACGCTAAGCTTGTGCTCTACCACTGAGCTACACCCTCCCCCCTGTTCTGGGATTTATAGACAGACTAGCGTATGCTTGAATGTGTTAGAAATGGGTCTTACAGTTCCTAAACAGATTGAGAATGAAGGAGGGCCTGACACCAAGACCTCATTGCCTTACAAGATTCATTACACCAGAGGCTACTGGCCCTGGGCAGGGTTTCTCGAGCTTACAAGCATAAGAATCCCTTAAAAATCCAAATTCCTGAGCCTGATTCAAGCCACACTAAACCCATCATCTGGGCAGTGACAGGAATCTGCATTTTTTACACGTGATCCAGGTTTGGGAAATCCTAGACCCAGGGAAAGAAGCATTGAAATATTTTTTAAATTTCCCCTCCTCCAGTGACAATGGAGCCCCCACCAAATTCTGCCTGCCACCCAGCTCCCTCATATCTGGGCAAGGACTCTTAAGACTATCTCTCCAAAGCTCAATTTCATTCATTACTAAATTGTGACAGTCTTATCATTTTAAAAAAAATGGGTTAATTATTTCAAAAGTTGTGATCAACTCTTTGTTGTTGTTGTTGAGGGAGGTAATTAGTTTTACTCATTTTTAGAGGAAATATTGGGAATTGTGCATGCTAAGCACACGCTCTACCACTTGAGCTATACCCTCCCCCTTGTGATCAACTCTTAAATTTAAATATTGACAACTTCACCACTAAGTTAGTCTGGGTCAAGGTAGGTCTGAGTTTGCCCACCACCGCCT